GGAAGGGTGAGCGCAGTGCGTCAGGGGTGCATCTTCCGTTCTGCCTTCCACCTCATGTCAAGCCTCACCAACTCACGCACATCCCTGTGTACTATGCAAAGGCAAACACATGCAGAACCACACCACACGTGCGTACGCAAACGCATGCACACACATGCCCACCTACATCACACACACACACACCCAGAAATTTACGCAGACACGCACATTCTCTCACACAGACACAAACATGCTGACACACACTCACATACGCACACACATACATGCGCGCGCACGCGAGGCCCACCTCCTGGCTGTCGTGCTGCTGGTAGCCGCTGAACTGGGGGGCAAACTGCGCCAGGCTCGACTTGAACCCGCGAGGCACCACCGCGCCCACGCCGCCCTGGGGGCAGGGGGTCGCCGGGTGACGTCAGCGGGTCGGGGCCGCTGCGCGGCGGTCGAGACGAAACAAGGTGCGCCCGCCCCTGCCCGCACTGTTCGCAGCCGCTTCGACGGGCCCCGAGGGATTCGATGGTGCCCCCCGCCAGGTGCGGCGGCGGGGTGTCGCCGGGTGTTGTTCAGGCGGGGCGGGGCGGCGGCTCTCACCCTCCAGAGGTGCCCGACCAGCTTCCCAAACGCGTGCGCCAGCTCCCCCTTCATGCCCAGGGGGTTGGACGTGTTCACGTCCGCCTCGTAAGCGCCCGTCAAAAAAACCTGCGTTGGTTGTTGGCGGTATTCATGACATGTTTATTTAAATGAGATAAGGGATGTCACACGAAGCCGCGCATGCAGTGCGGCCAGAAGCGGTCGATGGGCGCGGCCACCGCCCCCCACCGCCGCGCCTGGCCCCGACCACTCCTTCAACCCACTGCGCCGCCGCCGCCGCCGCCACGCCGCCCAGGGCCGCCGCCCAGTCTGCATGCAGAGGGACGAGCCGGGGGCGCGGGGCAAAGGCGGCACGACTGCCAGGCAAATGCTGTTCCCGGGGGCCACACCTTGAGCACCGGCGCCGCATGCATGAGGCACTGCAGGCTGGAGTTCATGAAACACGTGTTGCCCAGGTTCTGCAGCCCCGCCAGGCCCGGCCGCGCGTTCGCGCGCTGGGAAGCGTTGTTGCGAGGGGGGCCAACAGGTGGGGCCAGGGCTGTGAGCCGGGGGTTTGGGGGGCGCGCACCTAGGGCCTGCCGCCACATCGGCGCATGGCCGAATGGGCAGCACAACAGCTCTTTGGTGCAGGGGAGGCTCCTCCACCCACCCATGCGCCCGTCTGCTCAAGCCGCTCGCACGCCCGGAGGCAGAATGGCGGGCGGGTTCCACGCAGCCGTGCCGCTCCAGCGCTCATCAACAAGGTGGCCCAACCCCCCTCTCCTCTGGCCTGGCTGCAGCACGAAAACGCGTCCCTCAGGTCGCTGAACCGCCGCCGCCGCCACCAACCTCGTTGAGCGCGTCTTCTGATGTCCCCAGGCGGAACGACGGACCCGGCAGCCGCCCGCTCCCGCTGCCTGCCCTCGGGCTGCCGCCCGCCGCGCCGCTGGCGAAGCCGGAGCCGCCCAGCTGGATGACGGGCGGCGGGCCGCGCGCGTCCTCCTCGGGGGCATCCTGCAAATAACAAGCGTACGCAGGAAAGAGGTCGCGCCAGGCAAGCGCAAAAACAGCCGCACCGCCTCTTGTCCGGCCCAGCCGCCTGGGGCCTGCTGCTGGGAGGCCGCTCCAGCCCCCGGCATGCTTTGGGGGGTGCCACCTGGCAAGCCGCTGCCTCGACGCGCGACGCAGCAGGCCACAATCAGGCTGGGTCCGCCTGACGGGCCGCGCTGCTCCCTGGCGCTTGCGCCTCAAGGCGCGCTGCTGACCCTCGGTTCTCCAAAATCACGGGCTGTGTTGTGATGACCGCAAGCGCTGTGCCATGGCTCCCTCCCTCACACGTCATTGCCCCTGATCGCACATGCACACACATGTACACACACATGTTCACTCACATGCGTGCGCACACACTCGCACGCGCATGCATGCACACACTGACACAATATCAACACACGCACGTATAATAATATAATAAAAACACATAAACAAATTGCAAATGCTCACACGCCCACCCACACGCACACACATGCACACACACATGCACACACACAACAACCCTCACCCACCTTGTCCTCCAGCAGTATGGGCTGGTCCTCCATGATGCGCGCGTCGGGCAGCTTCTGATCCAGGCAGCCCTCCAGGTCCTTGTACCTGGTCGTCACATTCGAAATGGCGACCGCGACAGACGGATCATGTCGGTGTATTCGGGTGTCAGGGGCACTGCAACAGCTGAGCGCTGCCCGGAAGGGACATGCGCAGACAACCTCAGCCGCGTTCGGCTGGGCGGGCGACCGACCGTCGAGTGTGGCTTTGTTCCCCGCAGCGCCAGGCCTCGGGCGCCCTTGTCTGCCAGGATCCAGTCCCAGGCTGGACGGGCAAGGGACAAGCCCGCAGCCAGCGCCGCCGCCTCCAAGGTGCTTGCATGTGAGATCCCCGCCGCTGATTACGCCGGCGACGCGGGCGTGCGCCGCCCGCTTGACCCCGAAACCCAACCCGGCCCCTGCTGCGCAACTGACATTGCCCGCCTCCACGTCGCCTTCCGAACAACTGCCAATTGAGAGCCGCCACCCACTTGGAGTGCTGGAAGTAGTCCCAGATCCTCACGTCCACCTCCTGCACCTTGAATAAGGCGCAAGCTCGCGCCTTGAGCTCCGCCACCGTGCCCTGCTTGTGCGTAGAGCGAGGAGGCGCGCTGCTAGATACGCTGCTCCATCGCAGCTGCCTGCAAACGCGTGCGTGCATCGCGTCGAGCGTACGGGCCCCGCTCTGCTGCGGACCTGCTGCATGCAACCCTCTCGTGGCTCGCCACGCGCGCCTGCTTGGCGCCGCTGCGCATGGCCTCGTCAGACGGTGCCATGCGCCCCCTCTCGCTGGGGAATCACGTTCCCAAGCCGGCCCCCCCAGCAACCCCCCTGACCCCTGCCCGCAGCTGCTTGGCTGCGGTTTCGAACGCCAAGGGAAGCTTCCGCTCACCGCCGCGTCCGCCTCCAGGTATTTGCACCCCTTCTCGTTGTGGCACCACACCTCCAGCCGCATGGGGCAGAGGTTGATCCTCGGCTTCTTCGCATGGGGGGCGAGCCCCTCAAGCACCGCCGTGCGCTCGATGGCTGGGCCGCCACCATACCAGAGGGTAACTAGGCGCCACGTCTTGTCGCTAACGACGACATAGTCTTTCCCTGCCTCGAGCTCCTGCTTCAGGGATGGGCCCGACAGGCCCGACGAGCCGAGGTGGATGGGTCCCGCGAAGTCGAGGAGGGCGCGGTTCTCGATGCGCCCCGGTGGGGGCGCGGGCGACGGCGGCGCGTCCGCGGGCGCGCCGGCGGCCGCGTCGCCAGCGCCGTCCGCGCCATCAGCGACCGCGCCCGCGTCCGCGTCTGCGTCTGCGTTCTGCGGCGGGCCGTTGGGTGCGTGATAGCCGGAGAATTGGCGCCACTCCTCCCACCAGTCCGCGGCGATCAGGTACACGCGGTCGCCCTCTGCGACTGGGCCCTGCTCGGCCGCCTCCACCTCCTCGGCCTGCTCCCGCGCGCCCGGCGGCGGCAGCGGCGTGTCGGAGCTCGAGCTGCCGCCGTCCGACTGCTGCAGGTCGGAGAAGCGCGGGGACGCAAGTTGGGGGAAGAGCGGGCGTACATGCCCGATGGCGCGGCAGCAACCGGCGCGCGCACATGGCGGTAACGCTACGTCAAGGTCACAGCGGAGGCAGAGCAAAGCACGCCAGCGGCGCGAGTTTTCACGTCCTAATGGTCGACCGTCCCACAAAAGAAAGCAAACACTGGCGAACTCTGCGTGCATGCGCCGATCCTGTGAACGCGCGAGCCACAAGCCGCCTCCGCGGCCCCATGTCTCGACAGCGCAGTATCCCGTTACTTCATACCCGCATTGCAGCGACATCATCGAAGATTGCCATCCCGCGGCCAAGTGATCTCGACGAGAAAGTCTGACACGGTCTAGTGTCCCATGACGCGCGTTTCTACGCAAAGAATGGTTGATTTACTGCCGATCACGCCGATCTGCGTGCCCTCGTTCGACCACAAGACGCCAGAGGGTGAAGCGCAATCCAGCGGCACTGATGGCCAGTTATAAACTGTTCAAGCAGGTATGTGGGATCGACCTGGTAATTGAGCTCGCTTGTGGGGTGGGTCGCACCTGTCCGCAATGGTGCGATTCTGTGCAGCAGCTGCACCCGCTCGAACCTCAGCGTGCGCAGCACACCCAGCCTGCCCACTCCCGACCATAGGTGGCCCAGTCGGCGCCCCACACCTGCACCCCAATCAGAATATGCCGAAGTGGGATGCACGCTGTCGTTCGCTGGACAATCGTACGGATGCTCCGATGACAGCGTGCTCTGGCCCCCTGTCGCCTCAGGCTCTCGCTCCTGATTTCCGGCTGGCACGGGCTGTGGTAAGCGCGACGCACGACAAAATCCGAGCCCTCTTTCCTAGCACATGTGCCCCAGCGACGTCGCCATCGCCAGCCCCCCACAACGGTCCCTTGCACCCAAACGTCGTGGCGTGTGCTGGAAGCGGCCAGGGAGGGCCTCGTGAGCAGCTTCGTCCTCCGATGACCTGGCTGACCCGCGAGCGAAGTTATCAGCGTGAGCGGTCCGCAGCAGCCCGTGAGCAGCAGGCATTGGCAAAGCACCAGCACGTGCCCGCGTTCAACCCACACACCGACAGAGCTCTCGACCCACCCACACTGGCAAGCGCACGGGCGCTCGCGACAGCTGTTGTCGCGTGTGCGACCCGCTGGCGGCGCTGGCCCGGGTTGATTACGCTGCGTCCAGCACTCCGACAGGTTTTGTGACTTATCATTCCTCAGTGTTCTTACTACACAAGCACGCTCCTTGCCCCCGGGTTGGACATCATTTGTTACGCAGTCCACAACAGAAGCAGACCATGGCTGAATTTGCACAGTCGGGGTGCCCCCCGTGCACAGTCAGGACAGGCGCGTGCACGATCCCCGTCCTGTATCACAACATCTATAGCAGGGGCCCCCTGCTGACTAGGCAAGCAGCTGCTTGACAGCATCTGAAGGCGCCAGCAGGGCCGTGCCCCCCAGCACGACAACGGGCTTGTGGCCGAAGGTGTGCTGCTCCAGCTCCTGCCGCACCCCGCGCCACTCGGCCGCGCAGATGCCGCCCACCACGAATATCATGACCGCCGGGAACTCGTGCGGCCGCGTCGGCCGCGGCACCGCGCCGGCCGCGCCGGCGGCCGCGGCGG